GTGGGGGCAGCTGCTCCAAGGCCCTGGAGCCCAGGGTGAGCGAGCCGATCCGCAGCCCCCTGCATGTCGGACTCGTCGGGTGCCGTGGCCGGCATAGCAGCGGACGGGAGACAGGTGCTCAGGCGGTGAGCACAGTTTCTGCGTCGGGCACGCCTGCTGGGGCTGGGGACACGAGGCGCTGAGAGTGGCCCCGCCAAGCCCCGGAGCACCGAGTCCCCCTCTGGTGACTAGCCCCCCCCCCCCGAGGCACACACAAAGCAGCAGGGGCAGGGCGCGGACCCTGGGCTGCTCCAACCCCCCCTGTGACGGCTGTCCCCTGCGCCGTGGGCCCAGGGGAGGCCACTGCGTCCGTCCCAGAGAGCCCGCGCCGACCAGCAAGGCCCAGAGGCCGAGAGCCCCTGCCGACGCCGGGGCGCCCCATTCCCCCCACGGGCAGCCTGAGCACCCTTGGAGGGAGGCGGGCTTGGGCGGCGCCCCTTACACAGCTGAAACCCCAGGGCCCCTAGGAGCACGCGTGGCCGTGGCAGGAACGCTGGGACGCTGCCTACCGGAGCCAGCTGCTTTGTCTGCTCCCTCCCTGGCCCTGGGAGTCAGGCGGACAGAGGATTCCCGAACCCTCTACCCTCCAGCGCCCGTGGAGCCGAGCTTCCTGCGGGGAGGGTTGAGCACGAGCTCGTGCCACCAGGCGGACGAGTGTGTCATGCTGGCAACGATGCCCAGCCGCGCTGCTTGGGTGCTGAGGTGCTGGCAGGCTGGCCTGCTCAGGGCAGGGAGTGAGCTCGTGCCACAGCGACCTTGGACCCCAGGGCCATGTGGCCCAACCCACCGGGGCCCTGGGCTGACTCCTGCAGGTCTGGAGGGCACAGCGGGGCTGGGGCAGCCCGGCGGCATGGAGGCGGGGGTCGGTGGGGGTGGGAGCTCAGAGGCCGTCCCTGGGGGGGGGCCACCTCTCTCCCCGTGCCTCCCTCCCCCGGAAGGCCCAGTGAGCAGGCCCCAGGCCCGACCCCCAGGGCCAGTGGGGGAGAACAGGGCCGGCCTCCTCCCTTCCTACTTTGACCTCCTGAGGCCGGAGATGGGGAGTCTCTCATCCGGGGGAGCTGAGCGGAGTGGCCTAGGGTGCCCCAGGCCGTGGTGGCTCGGGGACTGGGGGTCCAGAGGTGCTGGCATGGCCCTGGGAGCGAGGTCGCGGTGGAGGGGGCAGAGTGGAGGTGCACCTGCCAGGTGCCTGCGCTGGCCCGGCTGCTGGGGGAGGCGGCCCCCTGATGGGGAGCAAACGGGTGAGAAGGCTGCTCGTGTGGTGACCGAGGCTCAGCGCTAAGTCGGGGGCCAGGGGAGACTGCTCCGACAGTGCGGGGCAAGCGGCTTGCCCCAGGCCACATGGGACGGTCAGGTGGGCCGGTCTAGGGGGAGTCTCTGGACTCCCACTCTCATCAGCTTCCTCCTTCTAGAAGCATCCTTCTCTTGCCTTCGGACATGCTTCCCTGGTTTCCCTGTCACCGTGTTGGACGTTGCTCCTCCGAGTCATTGACTGACTCACCGTACCCGCAGGGGTGGCTGCCCCCAGCGCGCCTTCCTCCATCCTTCACTCCTCCCGGCTCTTCCAGCGTCCTGCTTGGCCTGGGTGGCTAAGGGCTCTCTTGGCTGGGACAAGGCTGAGTCACTAGGATAGAGACCCGAAACCAGAGTAGTCAAGAATACCCAGGTGAGGACTTCCTCAGGGAGCAGGCCCAGGGGAAGTGTTTCGGGGGGTGGTAGCTCCGCCCCAAGGGCCTGCAGGGATCCTCTAACCCGGAGGCCACTTAGGAGGCCACTTAGTCCGTATGAGGGAAGCCGTGGGATGGGAGCCTGGGGTGGGAATTTCCTCTAGCACGTCGGACTGCCCACTTGCACTCACATTCCACAGACGATCTTTTGACACATGGCCCTACCTTAGCTACAAGGGAGGCTGGGAAATGTGACCCACCTGGGGAACAGCCAGCAGCTCCGCCACCATCCCGTTCTAGAATGGGGAGGCCTCGCTGCCCTGGCGGTGGAGGAGGTTCCGCCCTGCGCCTCCCAGCCCTCGACTGCCCCCGGCAAGGTCGCCCGTGGGCATTCCTCCCCAGCACCGCCGACGGGGCAGCAGAGCCTGTCTTCTCTGAGCACCAGAACACGCGTGAGCTCTGAAGCCCAGCCGTGCGGGTTTGCAGTTTCGTGGGCCTCCATCAGCCCGGGCGCAGCCACCCCCGAGCTCCTCCTGCTCGCCCCGGTCCACCTGCCCTGTCCGCTCCCCTCTCTCACGTTAAATGAAAGTTACCCTCAAGGCATCGAAAATAATGGACCGCAGCGCAGGGCCAGGCAACGAGCCAACGACTGCAGCACTTCGCCACAGAGGCCCTGCCCACGCGGCCCGGTGCGCGGCCTGCAGCCCAGCCTGGCGCGAGCCCCGCAGCCTGACCTGCTCTTCGGACAGGACCAGCGGGGCTGCCCACCCCGACAGCAGCGGGTCCCTGGATCGCCTCCCCTCTGCTCCCCTCTTCCCGCAAGCTAGCCAGTCTGTGCCCTGGAGGACCTTGCTAAAAGCATCGTTGAGCAGCCAACACGTGCAAGTGTTTCTGGCTCTTTCCAACCGTCTTTTGAGAATTACAGGCTCAGTGGGCATGTGGCCCGTCTTCCAAATGATCACAGGTAATGTTTTTAATAAATGTTTTGTCACAGCATAACAAGGGTCACCAGCTTTCCATCCTCTGCTCCTTGTTTCTGATTGCTCACCACCTGTTGGCCAAGCCAGTGCCACATATTTTAGGGTTTTTTTTTTTAGATTGATATTTATTTATTTATTTATTTATTTATTTATTTATTTATTTATTTATTTATTTATATTTGACAAAGAGAGGGAGAGAGAAAGTGCGCACAAACGCAAGCCGGGGGAGCGGCAGGGAGAGGGAGAGGGAGAAGCAGGCTCCACCCTGGGCAGGGAGCCCGATGTGGGATGTGGGGGTCGATCCTAGGACCCTGAGATCATGACCTGAGCCCAAGGCTCTTCAGTGACTAAGGCACCCAGCGCCCTTATTTTAGGGTTTTTATACCTGGCAGTTTTGCATTGCTGGTACCAATTTCTGTATTAGAGTATTGCTAAACTGCTGTTTAAAAAAATCCCAAATACAATGACTTTAAGATTAGATAAATTACCTTTTTGTCACATGATACAGTTCTGATAAGAGCACTGCAGGCCCTGCCGCCTCAGGTGGGGGGTTTTGAGGGTTAGTGGCAGGCTCCAGGCCCCACCCCTCGCCAGCCTGCTCTCCCCCACCCCCCATCCCCGGCTTACACTTGCCCGCCTGGCACTTGCTCAGGCCAGATCCATGGAAGCAAAGCTGGGTGCCTCCCAGCAGCCCATCCAGTCCTCTCACTGTACCTCCGGACAAATCCCACATCTGCCCATTTCCCTACCTGCCCACTGCCCTCACCCAGTCCACGTCATCCGAGCCTCGTATCTGGGGGTGATGTCACACTCTTGTAAGTGGGCTCCCTGCTTCTTCCCCAAGCCCCCCAGTCAGCGCTGCACATGGCAACCGCGGTGAGCTTTTAGAGATGTGACGGCGCTTGTAGCCGCCTGTAGCCTCCGTGCCCAGGCTCCCCGCGCCTCAGCACTGCCTTAGGATCAAACCGTGGCTGCCCAGGCCTCCCATTTGGCCTCCTCCTCGCCCCCTCCCGCTCTGCATCAGCCACTTGGGCTTTGTCACTGCTCCTGGAAGGAGCCATGCTCTCCCTGCCCTAGAGCCTCTGCACGGTCCCCGCTGCCTGGAGCACCCTCCTGTCCCACCGTCACACTCCGGTTCCTTCTCTGCCCAGGGCACAGGGTCCCGCTGGAGCACCTGGGGGCATCTCAGCCCCAACCCCGCTGCCTCCGCCGTGCCTGGGGGAGCGGCCGGGCTCCTCTGTGCCGAGGCCCGTGTGTAAATGACCGCGACACAGTGTGGTTCCCCGGCTGGTGAGAGGCGGCCGCAGGCAGGGCGGCCGTAGTGGGCCTAGTGGGCCACAGCAGGGTCACTCCTGTGTCTCGGGGTCACCTTAACTGTGGGCGCTGAGGGGCCTCCGGCCGGGCCGCAGTCTCCACCCCGCCGCCCTTGCACCCGGGAACGGGAACGCGGGCGTGTTCAGGGACTCGCTGCTGAGGGCCGGGGCACCCCGAGCTGGCCCGCGGGTCCCCAGTGAGGCTGAGGCCGGCCTGGGCGCGCTGGCGGGTGGCGGGCGTCCGCCGGGGACTCGCGGGTGGGCCGGGCAGAGTGCGGGGGGCGCCGGGGTGGTGGGGCTGGGGGCGGGGGGGGGACGGGTGACCCTGCGGGTGCTGGGGGCGCTGCTGTCCGGGCGCCTGGGGCGTCGTCGTTCCGAGTGATGAGGGCGGGGGCGGGGGCGGGGCGGCGGGGGGCGGAGCCGGCCGGCAGCGGGGAGGCGGGGCCCAGAGGAGCGCGGCCGCCTCCCGTGCCGGGCCCTGCGAGCCGGAGCCGCTGGCCTGCCCTCCCCGCGCCGGCCCCCCCGCGGCGCCCCCGCTCCTCCTCCCCGCCCCCGCCCCCTCCCCCCTCCCTCTCCCTCCCCCCCCCACCGCCGCTCCCGGAGCGCCGCGGGCGGGGCGTGCCTTCCGGAGGGGGCCGGGCGGGTGCTCCGGGGCGGCGGGGCGGCGCCAGGCGGAAGGGCGCGGGGCGCGCAGGCTCTCCGGGCGGGGGCTGCGGCGGCGCCCGCGGCGAGTGGGCAGGAGCGGGCTATATAAGCGGCGCGCGGGCCCCGCGGGGCAGACGGCGACAGCCGCGGCGCGGAGCCCAGGGCCCGGAGCGCAGCCCCGCGCCCCCCGCCCCCGCGCCCCCGCCGGGCCCCCGCCCGCCGCCCGAGTCCGCCGCCCGGGCCCGCCAGGGCCGCCGCCGCCCCGCAGCCGATTTGGAGCCCCCGGCCCGCGAGCCCCAGGCCGCCGCCCCCCGGGGCGCCCCGCCGCCGCCGCCGCCGCCCCCCGAGCGCCCCGCCGCCCCGCCGCCCGGCCCCGAGCCCGCGGGCAGCGCCATGGCGGCCGCCGCGCCCGTGGAGCCGCCGCGCGTGGGCTGCAGCTACCAGGCGGTGATGCCGCCCTGCGCCGGCCTGGGCCCCGAGCTCCCGCAGCCCGCGCGGCCCGCCCGCCCCGCCCGCGGCAAGGCCCGGCTGCGGCGGCCCCGCCAGTCCCGCTTCAAGACGCAGCCGGTGACCTTCGACGAGATCCAGGAGGTGGAGGAGGAGGGCGCGTCCCCGCTGGAGGAGGAGAAGGCGCGGCGCTCGTTCCTGCAGAGCCTGGAGTGCCTGCGCCGCAGCACGCAGAGCCTGTCGCTGCAGAGGGAGCCGCTGGGCGCCTGCAGGCTCCGCAACAGCCTGGACTCCAGCGACTCGGACTCGGCCGTGTGACGGCGGGGGCCGCGGGGCGGGGGGGCGCTCCGCCGCCGCTGCCCGCACGGACGCTCGCTCGGACGGACGCACGGACGGCGCGAAGGGCGTGTGCGGGGGGCGCCCGCCGCAGCCCGCAGCCCACAGCCCGGCCCCGCGCCCCGCGCCCCGCGCGCCCGCCGCACGCACCGTCGGAGCTGCCGGGCGCGGACGGGCCGGGCGCCGCGGGACGGATATTTATTTTTGCATCACGGCGGCGGACGGCGCTGACGCCACGACCTTCGTCCCGGGGCCGGTCCGGGGGCTCCCGAGCCGAGACGAATAAAGTCCGTCTATTTGCAGGCCGCGTTCCTCCAAGCTCTTGACTCCTCCAAGCCTCGGGGCGCAGGCTCAGGACGCGGGAGCGGGACGGGGGGCGCCCGGGCGGGCAGCGCTGGGGCGGCTCCGACCTCCCGTCCCCGGACCGACCCGGCCGCGCCCAGGCTGCGCGGGGCCATCGCCGCCCCCGGGGGTCCGCTCGCGGGGAGCGCTCCTGCCCCCCCCCGCCCGAGCCCCGGAGCCCTGCGCCCGCGGGGGGAAGGCCGGCGCGGTGCGGACCGAGGGGCGCCTCCTTCCTCGGTGCAGGCGGCCCGTCGGGGGCCTCCGCGGAGGGCTCGGTTCGCGCTGACCCAGGGGTGCGCGGGGCCCCGGGCGCTGCCCCCCGCACGTTGCCCCCCGCAGCCCCCGCACGGCGCCCCCCGCCGTCCCCGCCGTCTCCCCACGCCCCGAGTGCACAGACGACAAAACAAACCTGGGGGAGAGGCCTCCAGGTGGGACGCCCCAGCGCGCCCAGGGGCCGGCCCCGCGCGAGCCCCACCCCGGCCGCAGTGTGGACGCCGGCACCTGGGCGCGGCACCCGAAGGCCCCCCCTGAGCGGCACCTCCCCCAGCGCCGGCCCCGCAGAAAACGGGGGCACAGGGAGGGAAGCAAAGGAGCCACAACGGGCGGGCGCCAGGGCTAGGTCTGCGCCCCCCCCCCCGTCCCGCCCCAGGTGCCCCTGCTGGGGGGCCGGACCCACCGCCCCTTACCTGCAAGGCCGCGGCCTGGCGCAGCCGAGACTCAGCCTCTGCAGCTGCCAAGGCCCGGCTGCTCTGTTCCTTGGGGTGCGAGGAAGGGGGTGACGCCCAGAACCCTCGACCCTAGTCTATTCCCTCGTCCCTCTCCCCTGTCCACTGTCCCGCTCCTGCCGTGTAAGTGGCGGGTGCCCGAGCCTTCCCGGGGCGGCCTGGGGGCTTCACCTCCCTCATGCCTGGGATCCCAGCCCCGTCCCGGCAGCGGGGAGCCTCCTCCACTGCCCTCCTGCACCCCCGGCCGCAGGGCTCCCCGGGCCCCGCCCATGTCCAGGGACTGCTTGGCACAGCGTCCGGCGGCATCTGATCACCCCAGTTTCTGTGTAGCCTCCGGTCGGGCCCAGCCCCCGGTTGGTGCTTCCAAAATCATATAAAGAGTTAAAATCAATAAAGAGGCAGTGAGGAAGGGCGATGCCCACCTTGCGTAGTCCTACTTTGCTTTATTTGTTCATTACCCTACAAAACCAGTCACTCATCCCCCCCCACCTGAAATACATACGGTATTTGGGGTGTTGTGCACATTTCTTTTATGAAATGGGTTTATGCTCCAAATACTCTTTTTAATCTGCTCTCGGCCTACCTGGATTTGTATTTAACATCCATACGTATGGATCTACATCATGGTTTTTATAAGATCCTGCTGAATAGATACTCCACCTCTAATTAAGCCAATTTTCCACTCTTTGGTATAAAAACCATGTCCTATGTGTCCCTGTTTCGTAGTACTGCCTGTGCCTAGCCATGAGTTCTGAGGGCTGGATACAGACGGAAGTGTGGAAGGGGCAGGGACCCAGAGAGGGGCTTGGTGGGGGGGGATGCGGGATAGTTAGGGGGAGCAGGCTGGGTGTGGGGTGCTGCCCTGGGAACATTCTCCGTCCCGGGTCCCTAGGCAGGAAGAGGGCGGGTAGGGATAGGGGTCCTGTGGCCTGAATGCGTTCCCAGCAGCTCCCAGGGCGCTGGGCCGGGAGGTCAGAGGGTGCAGGAGGAGCCCAAGAGCATGAGAAAGAGGAATGAGGCCCCTCGGGAGCCGGGAGGCGGGGAAATGCAGACAGCGCGAGAGACAGAGGAGGCTGGGCCAGCACTGGTGGGGGGGGGGGGGGGGGCCGGGAGACAGGGAGGCCGAGAAGGTGCTGCGGGGAAGGGCCAGGGCGAGGAGCCAGAGCAGAGCAGCGGGGGTGGGAGCCTGCACCGTCTGCCGCCTCCCGCCCGCTCCTCAGGCTCGTCCAAGGAGCCACCTCCCTCCTCCTCCCCACTTGGGCCTCGCCCACGGCCCAGCCTGGGTGACGGGCTTTCAAACAAGCTGGAGCCCGGACCCCCCCACACTCGGGAACCAGGGGCCTCCCCACCGGGGCCTCCGGCGGCCTCGCAGGCGCTGCTGCGCTGGGCCCGGGCGTTGAAGGAAGGGGCCTGTGGCCGCGGGAACCCCCCCTCGGGGCGCCCTGGGGGCCCTGGACCCTCTGGCTGGCAGAGGGAGAGGGGTGATGAGGTGGTGGCTCCACCCCTGGGAGCCTGCTCTCTCCTGAAAACATTTCCTGGGCATTTTAAGGATGAGGAAGCCAATAAGGGTCAGAGGAGCCAAGTTCCCAGCCTGGTGCCACACAGCTCGTCAGTGGCGACTGGAGTGGCAACCCCATATAATTTGGGTTTTTTTTCTTTTTAATTTCAGAATGTTTAAATCCTGTGCTCTGTCTAGAGCATGAACCCCAATTCCTTCCCAAAGCCCTGCAGCAGCCGCGAGAATGGGCCTTGCAGACAGGGAGGGGGAGCCGCCCTGGCTCTAGGTCCCTGCCATGCCCCCCCCAGCATCTCCCCCCCGCCCCCCCATGACCAAGCACAGAGCTGAATGCCAGCGCAGATCTGTCCCGGGAGACCCGGATTTCTGTGTTGCTTGACTTTGGCTCCAGGATTTCCCAGTGGCTCTGCGGAAGCTTCCGGAGATGCCAGGGCCCCTGTCTTGCCTCCTTCCCAGGGCCCCTCCTGCACGCGCGGCCCCGCTGAGCCCCGGGCCTTCCCCGACCCCTTCTGCTTCACTTCCCACAGCCACGTCTCCAAGGACACCCTTGCACACCTCATCGTCTCAGCGTCTGCTTCCTGGAGACTCCAGGCCCGCATACCCTTCTGTCCCCCAGCAGGTCGCTGGGGCTGCCCGGCGGCGGCTCTCTCAGCACCCGCCGGCACAGGGGAGGATGCTGGGCGTCACTTGAGGGGTCCTGCAGAGTACATTCAGGTACGGCCCAGCTTGCCAGCAAACGCGTGTCCCAGCGTTCTGGAAGGCAGTGAGCCCAGTGTGGCCTGTGTGTGCGGCCAGAGGGCCAGGGCCTCCCACACAGGCCAAGGTATCCCCGTCCTCCCAGCTTAGGCTCGAGGTCTAGGTCCCAGACGCTCTTATGTGTAGGTCTCAGTGAAGGTTTTGCCAATGGCATATATTGGGAAGAGCAGCACGTTTCTCCAGGCTTCTGCCTGAAGCGCACCCTCCCACCGCCTCCACGCTCTTTCCCCTTCCCGCGAGTGGGAACATAGACGCACGCGCCTGCAACCCAGCGGCGATCGAGCCGCCCAGGCCAATGGACTAGAGGACGGCAGGGCGACAGGATGGAAGGCCCCCAGGCTCCTGGATGACCTTGTGGAACCCAGCGGCCGCCAATCTGGAACGGCCCTCACAGACCATGACGTGCCAGAGAAACACACGTCCATCTTCTCTGAGCCACTGAACCATCATCGGGTCTCATTATCATAGCAGCCTTCCCTGACCCTAAACAAACAAACAGCAATACTGGCAGTTTATTACTGCTGTTATTTTTTTTTAACATTTTATTTATTCATGAGAGAGAGAAAGAGAGAGAGAGGCAGAGACCCAGGCAGAGGGAGAAGCAGGTTCCACGAAGGGAGCTGACGTGGGAGTCGATCCTGGGACCCCAGGATCACAGCCTGGGCTGAAGGCAGTGCTAAACTGCTGGGCCACCCAGGGATCCCCATTACTGCTGTTCTAACGGAACCCCTAAACTGAGGCATCGGTTCAGTGGATTTGTTGCAGGTGGGAAGAGTGCAGGCGCTGCAGGCTGGAAGGTTGGAGATGCTCGTTCGACCTCGGCAAAGCGGGTGGTAAAACCATCTTTGTGACGCCTTGGGAGGCTGCTCGTGTGCTGGCTGAGCTCACGGCTCTTAAGAGAAGTGACTGGAAAGAGCTGGAATATCAGTGTGTTGGTTGCTGGTCTTTGCGGCCGCCAGCAGGTTAAAGAAAAGACAGGAGAGACTGGAGATGGAAAGGAATGGAGAGATCTTAGAAGCAGGGCTCCTGGGAGGTGGAAGCCACCCGCCCCGTTTCTGATGCACACGGAGGGAAGTCAGCTGCCGTGGCTCGTGGCTCGTGGCTCGAGCCTTTTGAGCCCAGCGCAGGATCTGGCCCCAGAGCCAGCTTAGGTTAAGGGTATTGTTTTCCCACCAGACTGACTGTTTTAGATCCCGCCATGTAGCCGTGTAGGGGGGACGGAAGCGAGCTGGGCCAGAGCGGGAAACAAAGCCATAAAGCAGGCTCCATAACTGTGGTGAGAAAACACCCAGGGGTGGCGATGGGCACCTGGGGCCAGCCAGGAGCACTGGACCAGAAGAGAGGCTGGAAGCAACCGGTAAGCACAGCCCTGTGGGCCCCAGGGAAGTCAGACCTTTGAACACCTACTTCAGAAGTGACCACAGAGGGTGACGGGAAAGGGAGAAGTTTCCAGAACTGGGTTGCCCAGAGTAGCCTCATCCTCCAGAGCAAGTGCTCAGCGGTTGCCAGGTTGCCAGCACAGTGTGTTGTGCCCTTCGCTCCAGGGTAGCTGACGTGCCGCGGCGTCCTGGCCTTGGTTGTGTGGTGCGGGGACACAGCAGCTCTGGGTCCCCTCATGGGGACGGGTGCGCTCCTGACCCCACCGCTGGCCCAGCCCACACCAGCCACCTCCCTGGGCACCCCGGTGTGTTCTCTAGAGTCCAGAGCCTGTTCCTAGGTTTTTCTCTCTCCCTCTTTTTTCCCCCCTTCGGCTCAGTTGTTTTGTTTCTTAAATTCCACACGCGAGTGAAATCATATGGTGTTTGCCTTTGTCTGATCGGCACGATACCCTCTAGCTCCAGCCACGTCATTGCAAACGGCAAGATTTCTTTTTTATGGCTGAGTAGTATTCTGTGCAGGTGCAGGTGCGGGTGCGGGTGCAGGTGCGCGCGGGTGTGGGTGCAGGTGCGGGTGCGTGCATCTGTGTGGGTGCAGGTGCCGGTGCGTGTGCGGGTGCGGGTGCAGGTGCGTGCACCGCATCTTCTGTAGGGTCACCAGTCGCGGACAGTGGGCTGCTTCCACGTTGGGCCATTGTCTGTCCTGCTGCTGTAAGCCTAGGGCTGCGGATCCCTTTGAGTCCGTGCTTTTGTGATTTTTGAGCAAACAGCCAGCAGCCCATATGGGATCACAGGTGGCTCCATTGACCTTCAGGGGACCCTCCACGCTGTCTTCCGATCGGCTGCGCCGGTTTGCATCCCCCCCCCCCCACCAGAGTGCAACGGTTCCTTTCTGTCCACGTCCTTGCCCACACTTCTTGTTTTGCGCGTGTGTGATTTTAGCCCTTCTGACGGGTGAGGTGGTTTCTCGGGACTTTGGCTCGTGTCTCCGAACAAGGAGTGGTCGCACGTCTCTCCTGGGTGCACCAGGGGCTTTTGAGTGCTCTTCTTCCTCCCTTCTCCCCCCCAGGAGCTCTGTGGCCATGCCCCCATTCTCGTCCATCACCGTGCTTGGGCGCTGGGAGGGGCGGCTGGGATGGGGGCGCAGGAGCCGTCCTGAAGCTGACGGGCCCCGGGGCCACGAGGAACTGCACGGGCCTCGGGAGAGGCCTTCTGGCTCCAGACAAGCTGCGCTTTGGCCTAGAGGAAGGCCAGACGGAGTGGAGCGGGCGGCCTTGGAGAAGCCCCAGCTCGGTGGCGCCCGGGAGGCAGCGGCCAACCGGAGCACGTCCACTGGGGCCACTGAGGCCGCTCTCCGTGTCCTTGCCTGCGCAGGGCTAGCCCGGCTCTCCTGGGCCTCCTTGACGGTGAGCAGGGCCGTGCCTCAGTTTCCCGGAAGAAGCAAGCACGCGGGGCATGCCACGCTCAGGCCTGGGCTCCTCGCAGAAGAGTCTAGGCCCTCCCGCAGTCGGCCTCCAAGGCGCAGGCAAGACCCTTGGACCCCATGACTCGGAGCTGCCCCTGGGCGCCCCAGCGAGAGAAGTGGTCTGCGGCCGGGCGGGTGGCGCTCCCCGTCCCGCCCTGCGGCAGGCTTCCCCACGGTGGCAGAGCCGCTCCCCAGCCCAGGGTGTGCTCCAGCAGTGGGGCTCAGCCGGGCGGGAGGCGACCAAACTTGGATCCCTGAACATCGTCCAGGAAATTGTTTTTCCCAAGAAACCACAAAAGCCCGTAAGTGTTTCGGCCCCAGAACTGCCTCAGC